ATATATATATATATATATATATATATATATATATATATATATATATACACACACACAGGTATATATACTGTACCAAAGATTCTCACCTCTGTCTTTCCCTTCCCCAAACAAGAGTTTCTTTTCTCCTCTGGCACCTCCCAGACTATCTGAAAACAGAACAGGGAAAGACCATAATCTGTGTTAGAGTTAAAATTATTCATCTTCCATCATTCTAATTTATTTATTTTTACTCTTGAATCTGTGAAATAGAAAAAGAGCTGACCCATTTAAACAAACCAGTCAAAAACAGTACAAGTGTTTATTCTATAGAGGCAAGCGATCATACAAACTGTACGTGTAAGAGACAAAAGTGCCCAAAGCTTTTCTCTTCAGGTCTGGTGGGACCCCCTTGTGTGACTTTAATTGTCCCTGAACATTTATTTTTCCTGCTGACTCATCGGTAAATCAACTTCACCCTTAGTTTTATTATCAACTGCTCCCTGCAAGTGTTTTTCTTTCTCTCCGTGACTACTGGGGAAAATTCACGTTCACTAATGTTGTTTACTCAAAAGACCCACAATTCACAGAAGGTGAAGATTTTTAACCGGCTTTAACTTGCAAGGGCAGCATTCAGGACAGGTCACATACATAAATACATGTGCATGGAGAATATGTCACAGGATGAACCCCAAATGTGGTCTTCTATTGACTTTTATTACATTAACAGTTCAGTCGAGTTCAGTGGGCATTCATTCATCCAGAAGCCAGCAGCAGTCCCAACTCACAAAAGCTCACGGATATGGTTCATGGGCATCAGGGAAGCACCGCAAGTCGGTCTCCAGGTCGAGATAAGAGTGTTTTGGGAGACAACAGAGCAGCCAGTCGTCATGGCAGGAGGGAAAGATGTTCTCAGCCACAATACAAAAACACAATGTAAAAATGGTCATAAACGGGGGGGTGGTGGAGCAGAGGTTAGAGAATGTGGGTCTGTGATCAGAAAGTCAACTCCCCAGACCAGCAACATCAAAATGTGAAAAGGAAAGATGAAACACCCACACCTGCCTCCACCCTCAATTCCCCCACTCTGGGCCCTTTAGCAAGGCCCTTAACCCCCACCATCTGCTCCCCTGGGCACCATAGACAGAAGCTCTCTGCTCCACACAGAGGGCTGTGGTAGCTCGGTGGTCTGTGGTTGTGTCAGGAAGGGCATCCGGCAGTTTTTTTTTTAAAGCCAAGTCTTCATGTGATTTAGTTCACTATGGCAACCACTAAGAAAGGGAGCAGCCGTAAGAAGAAAAAATAAACAAAACAACAACAAAAAAAACTAATTTCTCACTAAGGTTAGGTTTGACACCAAATACCGTATATGCACTTTTTTTCTTTAGCTTCATGTCACACATAAATAATAAGTCTTTTTAAAATTAGAATTTGCTGATAACATAACATGCTGTCCATCACTGATACCGTATCATTCTGGCTCAAATGCAGCAAAGCAAACCATGACACTACCACTCCCATGCTTAACAGATTAAATTAGTTTCTTATACTGGAATGCAGGTTTAGAAGATCCTTCACATATTTTATTAAAAAGCTCTAAATTGGTTTAATCTGTCCACAAAACATACTGGTCAACAAAGTTTTAGATCTTCCTTTTTTTATTATTATTATTTATTATTATTTTTAAGAATGCATCTTCAAGGATAAAAATAAATGAGCTGCATTCAGTTGAACTTGTTAGGAATCCAACTTCCTTAATTACTGAAAATTCGCACCATAATAGTTCATGAAACAAGACTTAGGTTCTGTATGGACATCAGTGTTCTGGTACTTTTAACAGCCTTGATATAATGCATTTAAAATCACTGTTTAAACTTGTTAGTAACATTTTCTCCTCTGGTTCCATCAGACGTCTGAACTGCCCACAGAGTCTCAATGAAGTCTTTGTTGTGCACTTCACTTACTGATAATACTAAAAATTAAAAGAACTACCATCTGCTTCTACTTTTATTATATTATAATGTAGTTTTAACTGTTCAATATCTGTGTTTTTATCTGTTTGAGCTTTCCTTTTTTGTGTAGTTTGCTATTATTTACTACTAATGTTTACTCACCGAGGCCTGTAATAATCAGTTTCATATCTAATTTTTTTTTAAATAACAAATTTTCTTTGAATCCTTGAATTCTACTGGCAGACATTATTTAAATTATTTGATTTCTGTAGATCTCCCCTTAAATCCCACCACCAGAGTTTCACAACCCCAACTTGGGTGTGCTCAGAAACAAATTATTAAACATTTTCAATTCGGTCACACTTATTTTTAATCTACTGGGGAAATCAGATCATGTTTAAGCTTTTATCTTTACGGAAATACAAATATGTCACTGCAAGGATTAGGTTTTGTGCTCATAGATCACAAACAGACACAATATTTGACACATATTCATCACCTTTTTGGGTTGCTGGTTCAGGTTGTTGGTGTCTATGGCTAGTATGGCGTCTCTGGCGCCAAGGAACAGCATCCCTGATGACCGGTCCAGTTGGAAGGTGCTGAAGTTGGTCACGCCCTTAAATATCTCTTGACCCAGGATGGTGTCTGCAAACCAAAAGAAAAGATTTTATGAGTTTTTGTTCTGCTGTAGATCATAGGATTTAAATATGCATCAAGTGCAGATGTGAGCAACTTAAGGCTCGAGGGCCAAAAGTGGCCCTTGGACAATCTCAAGCAGGCCTTCAAAAATCAACTTTTTAAATAAAGACTGATTTAAAACAAACAAACCAAAAATAAGCAATTTATCAACAAGAATTAAGGAAATTGTAATTAAACATCAAAGTTCAAGCTCAATAATCCAGTTAAAAATCCAACAATGTTCAGTCAGGTCATCTGGACGATTTATTTTATTGCGGAGATGTTTCATCCGTTTAATTCAACATCTTATGCAAAACTTTTCAAAAAACATTTTTAAGTCATTGCATTTCCAGAACTAGACTGAACCTTAAAGACTTAGAAACACAAACATATAAGTTTGTTTTGCATAGTTGTGCTAACATGTATAACATGCTACGCTAACATTTGTAATACTGGAATATTGTCACAAGAGCCAGTTTACAGAGTACGTCTTATATTCATAAAGGGTTTTGGAAAGACTTGTTTTATAAAGCTAACTGCTACAATAAGAAAAAGGTCTTCTAGATTATTTGTCATAAAGAAAATGTATTTTCCAATTCTCTATGCGGCCCTTTGATTGCTTTAAATGTCTTGATCTGGCCGTTTGGAAAAAAATGTTGCCCACGTCCGACCAAATGAAACAGACTGGAGTTTACTTCCTCCTTTACCTGTGTAAATGTGAACCATTAATCATACGGGCAGCAATAGTTTCAAAGAAGGGGAAGATGAAAGCAAACCCTCTGACCTTTAAAATAACCAGAACCCCAGAACAACTAATCACCTCTGAATTTGTAACATTTCTTTATTCTATTCTCTCTTTGCCATTGTGTCCGCATGTCAGTTCATGATGCTGAGCTGGTTTGAAGCATCCCTCTGGATTGTTTGCATCTATTTTGTATACTGCACCCATAATCAAAATTAAATGTCCCTCCTGTGGGAGAAATAAAACAAGCTGAATAATGCGGCATCGTAACGTACAGTAAACAATAGATTCGTCTTTACATAATACACAATATCAGCTATATTCGTCTACTCTGCTGAAAAGTATCACATGAATCAAATCCTTGAAGCTTTTGAATCCAGTTCTGGCTCTTGTTTGCTCGCTCACTCAGACCTGCTCCCGCCTACTCTTTCCTCTCTACAACAAAGCATTGTATGTTTTGTGTGTGTGCATTTATGCCCAAACAGCTGAGAGGAAAAAAAAGTCCAGATGTTTGCTCAACATCTATTGGAGCTCCGAGACTTTAAAATCATGTGTTGTAGTGTTAAAATGAAAAATGTTTATCAGCTTACTATTTTTGATACATGCTCAATAATTCAGATTAAAAAATGTAACAAAGTCAGATCCTCTGGATGGATTCTTGTTGTTGAAACGTTTCATCTTTTATCTAAAAGACTTTGTCAGTCTGAGGAGCTGCAGTAAACTCAATCCCTTCTCTTCGTGGATCAACAAGTTTGCTGGTGACATCCAGAACTAGCTGTTCACATGATAAAGGAGGACCATCAGCCTAATGACCGATCACTAGTGCCCTGATGGCTGCTTGTTATTCACAGAGGTCTGAGTGATACTAGCAATGTTAAACTTATTAAACAGGGGCGGAGGCCTCCGTGTCCAACTGTCCCCCTCTTACAATGATGTTATTGTGAGTATCGCCCTCTGTGAATAGCAAGCAGCCATCAGGGCACTAATGCTGATGGTCCTCCTTTTGCATGTGAACAATTAGTTTTGGCTGTCAACAACAAATTGCTTGATCCACTATGAGAAGGTGCTATTTATAAGACTGAGTTTGTTGCAGCTCCTCAGACTGAAGAAGTCTTTTGGATAAAAGACGAAACGTTACAAGAAGTATCTGTCCGGAGAACCTGACTTTGTTACATTATCAGCTTATTGTTGTTTTTTTTTTTTTGTTTTTTGTTTTTTTATATTAAAACTCTGGTCTTTTGAGAAGCTCATGAAAAAGACCCGATGTGCTTGAAGGCAGAACAGAATATTCACAAACACACTCTCATTTCCAAAGACGCTGAAGCAAGTCTATCAAAACACACAAGTTTGACACACACAAAAAAAACCATCATCCACAGGTGACATATTAAACAGGATTAAATACTGAAGCTAATCTGACAAACATGAAGTATAATTTAACCTCAAACAGACATCACACACTAGTAATGTCACTAACATGACCCACACCCACGTTTGAACACAGTGCAGACGAGACTTTAAATATAATGCTGTGTTAAGCATCACATTTACACACATGGAAACATTTACTAATGAAAACCCAACATTTTTCAGTCAGGTCATCTGGACAGTTTCTTTTTTGTGCTGAAATGTTTCGCCTTCGATCCGGAAGGCTTCATCAGTCAAGGAAAAACACACAACACAAAACTGATTCTTCCCCCAACAGCTTACTCCAAAGTGAAACAAACCAGTTTTGTTTGTGATAAGATGGTCTCTTTGGTATGCCCCCTCCTCCATTGCCGGCCCTCTTCATTGTTGACAGTCGTGTCAAACTGGTTGAAAACAACAAAGTCCATGCTCAATAATCCAGGTATACAATCACTTTGGAGTAAGCGGTTGGGGGAAGAATCAGTTTTGTTGTGTGTTTCCTTGACTGACGAAGCCTTCTGGATCGAAGGCGAAACGTTTCAGCACAAAAAAAAAGAAACTGTCCAGATGACCCGACTGAAAAATGTTTGATTGCAATCCTGGATTACTGAGAATGGACTTTGTTGTTACTAATGAAAACATTTGATTAAACTGAAAAACAAGGAAACTCTGCTTAGGGTTTGTGCATATAAATCATTTATGTTTAACTAAAGTTGTTAGACATAAATAATAAAAGAAACAGAGCTAAAGTATTAAAAGAATATCAACTGAAATAAAAATATATATAATTATTTCAGCCTTTTAATCAACTTATCCAGTGAGTATTTATTATAATGTCATTAAGTAGTACACACCATTCCCTATCTTCCATTTAAACATATTATGTAATTTATGGTGTCCTCAGATGTTCTTATTATGAAACTCAGAAAAGATGGAAAATAGGAAGAAGTAAAAAAAGAAGAAAGAAGAGCTCTGTTGGCGATGATCTTACAGTCTATTTTTGGTGCCAAATGTAATTCACAGCATTTTAACTGTGTGACATTACTCCTGTTAATAAATTATGTTCTTTTTTTAAATAGAGATCTTGATTTACTGTTGTCAACCCAACAACCACTATATTGTACCAATACACAATCCTGCTTTGTGTTTCGCACTGCTGGTACTACGGCCATTCAGTCCTTTTAACTATGTTTATTGGGTCTTTTTTTAGCTCCCGCTCGAGTAGCCCAATGGAGACTCCTAAGTGATGTAAGTAGATGTGAATGGTCCATGCATAAATGTAAAATGGTTGGCCAAACTGAACGCTCTTGCAGTGGCCACAATAAAACGGTTGTCACGGCTAAAGTAGAACTGTCTTACTTGTTGCTCTTCTTTGAGCAAGTGCAGCACAAAGTAGACTGATGATGATTCTTCACCTTGTTCTGTTTCTTCTGAATGTTTGCAGTGTTTTTAAAAGCTTTGTTTTTAGAAAATAAACCAAAGACTCAGAACTACAGTGTCCTCTGTTGCTGTTGATGGTGATTGTAATGAACATTAGGTTGGAGACATATCCTGTTCATATTTTTTGGCGTAACATAAACTGTGGCATCTTGGAAGTGGCAGAAATGAAGATGTTGAGGTTCTCCTTAGGAGTGACAAGAATGGATAAGATTAGGAATGAAATCATCAATAACAGGGAGATAAAGTTAAAGAGGCCCGACAGATGGTTTGGACATGTCCAGAGGAAGGACAATGGGTATATTGGTAGAAGGATGTTAGAAATGCAGCTGCCAGGAAAAAGACAAAGAGGAAGGCCAAAGAGGAAATAAGTTGGAAAAAGACATGGAGGTAGCTGGAGTGAGGACAGAGGATGCAGAGGAGAGAGTGAGATGGAGAAGGATGGCTTGCTGTGGTGACCCCTGAAGAGGGAAAAGCCAAAAAAAGAAGAAGAAGTAATCTGTGGCCTGCTAGGATCAACCAAACCCCTCAGCAGACAAGCAAGTACAGCACAGATATTTGTGACACTGCTACACTTTCCATTTAAAAAAAGCCATAAAAACAACAAATCCTGTGAGTCAGCCCACGAGCAGAAAAGAAAAGAAAAAAACCCCACAAATGATTGTTTTGTGGAAAAAACTGCAAGGAATCCTGCTGCTATCAACATCTGAATATTTTATCCCACAAGGACACACAAACTGGATCAAACTCCTGGTGAGAAATTACTCAGACTTTGTTTATTTTTCTTGATTTTCAAATAGGATTAAGTACAAAGTATTAACTGTGGCTATGGAAGCAAAACATAGGAACAACTGTGTTTCTGCTCTAAGTAACATGGCCGCCCTGAACTTCTGTCTTAATCACAGCAATCCCCCAGCAAGGCAAACATGCAGATCATTATAACTGCTCTGTCGTTTGATTGGCAGTTTTTGGTCCAAAAGAACCCATTGTGAGGGAGGATCTGTGTCTTCTAGCGTGTGTCTCCTTCTTGTGTTCGTTCTTGCTCCTCGGTGTTTCTTTCTCGTGTAATCAGCTCCTGCCTCCGCCACCTGTTGTTCTTCCCAGGTGTTGTCATTTGTCTGTCATTAACGTCCCTATTTAAATCTACGTCTCTGTGTTCCTCATTGTCTGGACATTTCCCTGTCAAGCTCCATGTTCCGTCTTCCCTCCGTCTTCCCAGCATCAGGTAAGTTTGCTGCCCCGTCAGCCTTTTGTTTCCTTTAATAAATTACTTCTTATTATAAATATCAGAGTCTCCGTGATCTGCTTGCATTTGGGTTCGACATCTAACCATCAGAAACGTGACATCCATTATGTAGGTTATATAGAATGTTGACTGGAT